ATATTTGGTACAATCAAGGATGTCGACGGCTTAAAAGAAAATGCTAGTCTAGAACTCAACACGAGTAAGACACCCCCATAACATCGTGATTATGCAAGGGTCCCATTTCGACGGGAGGTCTTTTTTGGTGGAGATGATCCCCCAAGTACATCTTTAATTTTAAGTTTGTCATTTTTTTTGGTTCATTTTTAGTTTGTCCTTTTCTTTTTGGTCAATTTTTCATTTCAGTGTGTATCTTTTTTTTTTTTTACATTAACCAACTCTGTAACTTTTTGTAAACTTAAACCAGGCTGTAAAAATTGGGGGGAAAAAACTACAAATCTAAAAAATATGCAGCATCTCGCCTGATAATTTTCATCTTCTATACTCACTTATAATTCAAGTTTGATTGAGTGAGTGTGTTAATGTAGAACCAAGGAGATGGTGATCGAAAAAAATTGCAGCATCTTGCCAAAAATTTTCATCTTCTATACTCCAATTTTCAAGCATTCGAGAAAAAAATATGCCATCTAAGGGGAATTTTTGGTAATGCGCGGTCGAATTTATTCAACAGTTTTTGAAGATGCCCAAGTTACCAAGTTACAGAGGATTGATTAACTTTCAGTGTTTTTTAGTAAGTGAAACCTCAAGAAAAAGGATAAATATTTTTATATTTATTTTTCTTGAGTAAGTATAGAAGGTGATTTGTTGTATGTAGGTATTGTTAAATTGATGGATCATTATCTTACATTGCATTGTGAATACATGGAGGGTAATGGTGAAGAGTTTCAAGAACAACTTAATAGGTTCTCTTCTTCGACACCAAATTATGAGGTTCAATATTTTAATTCAATAGTAGAGCATTTAGAAAGTAGACTATAGCTGACATCAAAACGAATAACATTGAAGATGCATGTTTATTCTATTGTCAAAGTGCACATGCTTAAGGTTTTAGTATTAAAAAATGTGAGCAACCATACTTTTCGGGCCTTAAGGAAATTGCAAATGAAAGAATTTGAATATTCTTGTGAATGAGTTAAAGATGAAAGACATCCAATATATTAACAATATTCCTGAGTATCAAAAATCAATAACTATAACAAAATGAAAAACAAGACTTAGAGTTGCGAGGGAGAGAGAAGGGGACTGGAAAGTGAGCAGGTTTTACGTGGAACACAATCATGAAATGATTCAACCTGATCAAACTAATTTGTTGAGATCATCACGTAACATCACACATGCCAAAAAATCAACTCAAGCTATGATGAATGGTGGTATTTATGTTGCTAATGTTGTTTCTTGTATGAAAAATGAGGCTCATAGTGCACAAAAACTTGAGATTTACTTAAAAAGATACATACGATCATTTTAGTCGTTTAAAGAGGTATACAAAAGTTGAAGATGGAGACAATCTTTTACTTTGGTTTAATATTTTATCAACAAAGCTAACGTGGATAATCCACACCTCTCTTTCCCAATTCTCATTTTTTTCTTCAGCAGGCTGCCGACTCTCGACGGTGGCCACCCCTAGACTGCGCGATTCAGTCCTTTTTGTTGCCAATCCGGGTGGGTTGGACGTTTAGGCCCATAAGGCCGCTTTCTCTAGCCGCCTTATTAAGCTGCTGGGCGTCGATCTACCGGGCAACGTGGCAGCGGAGATTCTGCAAGGTTGGGTTGTGGCTCTGACGACCTTGTTGTGGTGGTTAAGGTTGAGGAGAGTGGGCTCTCCCTGTCCCCTTTGCCCCTAGTGCGTGGGTCGAGAGGACGATTGGCCTGATGAGTCTGACCTGTGGTGTGGGCTAAGCTCGGGGCGGTGGTGTATGTGAACCTTGTCAAATGTTGAATTAGACGCGTGCACCTAACAAGGTTGTGAAGCATCACTTCCAATCAAGTCTTGCTTGCCTAAATTGTTATAGGATAGTGTTTATATTATAGTGTAGGCATGGCCACGGGTCTACCCGGCCTGACCTGGTTTTCGCCAGTTCATTGAACCAAAACCTTGGCCATGCGTGCCGGTTCCACTTCTTTGTTTGTTTTTTTTTTTTATTTTTTTGTCTCGGCGGTTCGAGCCGGGCTGTGGGTTGGAACACAAGCGGCGTTTGAATTTTTTTTAAAGGCCGAATCGGCCCGAAATCTGCCGAAAATCGATGAATCGGTGACCCAGGGTTCATGGCCGGTTTAATGAACAGACCCATATAAATTCTCGGGCCGATTAAGGGCCATCATTCTGAGGCCCGCCAGTCTAGCGGGCTTGGCCGGGCCGCGGCCTGTGATTTGGCCACGTCTAGTTATAGTGGCATAAATCATAATCACTAGACTATATACATTTTTTATTTTAACAAATATACACAAAAAAAAAAAAAAAAAAAACCTTGTACTTTAAAATAATATAAACGTAATTATTACTAAATGTAAAGAAATCATGTTGTTCACTCTTCTCTTTGATGATATATATACTCACGGGCTAACTCAACCCTACTGGCGCTATGCTTATGAACTTTTACTGTTGATCAGACACACTCAGATCAATCCATCCAGTGAAAAGTCCTACGAAGGTGAGGAACTGAGTGTAGAATCCTCTGATTTCAGGAGCCCATCTTCGAAAGCCGCCGCACATTTTGAAATCTGCTGTTGTTTATTTTTGTTGTTTTCTGATTTTCGAGGAAATTAACCTAATTTATACGAGGAGACGATGGCTTTGAGGTAATTCTATTTTAGTTTATTCACTGTTGATTCTTTTTGTCTGTTGCATGACCAAGGCAAGTAGGGCACTCTCAAAAGAAAAAGGACAATAAAAATTTGATCTTTTTTTTTCTCTATTTTTTTTGCTTAATTTCATTGTTAGAATATCACTTTTGAGTTATCCCATATCTTTTACGTAGGGAAAAAATGTCTAATTTATAAGTCTAATGAGCTACTTCTCATTCGACCAATTAGTTTTGGAATAGAACTTCACTTGGTGGGCTTCATCTGAGTGGGACCACACTCGTTTCTTGTCCCTATTTCTTACATTCATTTTGTTTTTGGGTGGTTTAGTTGATTATTTATGAAATTCCACATTTTTCAGAGATAAGATTATCCACAGACATCATAGGCAGAGGACAATAGAGAAAGAAGAGAGAATATGGCAAGAAGCTCTCCTATTCAAGATTATGGAGCTTTTGTTGAGAAATTCACTCTGTTGCCCAAACATAGTTCTTCTCATCAACTTGCCTTAACTGGCCTTACCTTTGCTGTCAAAGACATGTTAGTCAGTCAGTCCCTCTGCTTTTATTTTTCTTTCTATTTTCTGTTGATTTAGTATCTTATGTAATTTGTGTATGTGTGATATGTCTTTGACGAGATGTTCTAAAATTAAGGTTGATTTACCCGGACTTTTCTATTTAGGAAGAATACCCGTATCATGTTGTGTGTCAGTGTGGGTATGAGTGTCGGGTGTGGCATTTTAGCCTAAAATGTTCAAGGTTTCTAAACTATTGACGAGTCGGACGCTCATATCTCCACACCCGATACGCCACCCATATCCGAGTCCAGGTAGCATAGCTGGATACTGCATTCCTATTACCAATTATTCTACTAAGAATGAAATGTAACCATTTCTATTACAAATTATTCTCGTATAAGTACTTCCGAATGATGACGCAGTGAGTTCAAAATACAATGTCTCGAAAATCTTGTGACGATGTAATTTGTTGCTGTGTGTTTTTAACTTTTTGATGTTACTTGATTGGAAAATGTATGTAAATAAGTAATTTATTTATCATTCGTGGTGTGCCTAGATTTGATGTAGAGGGTTGTGTGACTGGTTTTGGAAATCCCGACTGGGCAAGAACACATTCGGTAGCAAAATCGACTGCGGAGGCTGTCCGGTTAATGCTCGAGGCCGGGGCAACTTGTGTTGGTAAAACTGTCATGGATGAAATGGCTTACAGGTTTTTTATATTTTTTATTTTTTTATCCTCCACCAATTCAATGCATTTTCAGTCTCTAAATAAATACCTTTGTAAATGTGTGAAATTCCTACATTTGAATGTTTTGATCTAAAAAATAAAAAATCTTGATTTAAAGTACACATTCTTTTGGCAGCATAAATGGAGAAAATGTACATTATGGGACACCAACAAATCCGTGTGCAGCAGATCGTGTGCCGGGTGGATCCTCGAGTGGATCTGCAGTTGCAGTTGGCGCCATGCTTGCCGATTTCTCCTTAGGTGATTGCTTTTATTTGAAAAATATGCTTTTTAATCACAATATCATATATTATTATTAACTCGAAGGATCGTTTTCGCAAAGGCACTGACACTGGAGGAAGCGTAAGAGTTCCGGCATCATATTGTAGAATTCTCGGTTTTCGCCCGTCTCACGGAGAAGTTTCGACTGATGGAGTTATTCCTATGGCACAGAGTTTTGATACTGTTGGTAAGGAAAAATAAAAATAAAAATTAATGATTGTAAAATATTTATAACTAATACGTCTTTAGCTTCATTGTGATAATTAGAGCCTTGCAAAAAGTTAATAAGTGTGTTCAACTCCAAATTCTTTATTTCAGGTTGGTTTGCAAGAGATCCATCGATATTGAAGCAAGTCGGCAAAATTCTATTGCGATTGCAAGATGATATTCCAGCTGCTAAACTCGGTCAGCTTATTATCGCGCAAGATTGTTTCAATCTTCTAAGCATTCCTCCCGAACCATTCATAGACATTCTCGTTGCTTCAGTTGGGAAATTATATGGAAGTAAGCTCAGTTTCTTTTTATTCTGTTGTTTTCTCCACATGGAAAAACAAATTATTTGTAGCAAGTACTTAAGAACTCATTTTATATTACATACACACATTTTTTTTGTTACATTTATTTTGTGTATAGGCGAGAAAATAGAGTTTACGAATCTGGGGGACTTTGTCGAGACCAAAGTCCCAAGTCTGAAGCATTTTATGGGTGATTTTACTAAACGAGAAGACAACAATATACCGTCCCTAACAGCACTTTCTACCGCCATGCGATTACTTCAAAGGTGCACATGAATAGTGTGTCTATTTAATTCTACCAAAGTCGTTAGATTTTTCACTCTTGTTTGCTATTTTACACATTTGAGATAATTTGACGATGCAAAACAAGGTACGAGTTCAAGAACAATCACGGTGAATGGGTTCATACAGTGAAGCCTGATTTAGGCCCAGGAATTTCAGAACGAGTACAGGAAGCACTTAGGACGACAGATGAAAACACAGATATATGCTATCTGTTGAGGAATGAGCTTCGTGAGGCTCTCAGTGATCTATTGGGGGTACAACTCTTTATGTTTTCATTTATTTTAAAGCCATTTCTTAGCATAGTAATAGTGTCCAAAACGCCACCAAGCTATCATAGCATTTAAATTTTACGTTCAATCACCTCTACAGAGTCACATTCTTAAGTTCCTAAACGACCTTTGAATCTGCATACAAAAAATACACAGGATTTTGGCATCCTAGCTTTGCCTATAGTTCCAGGGCATCCACCAAAGCTGCAAACTAATCCGACAACTTTGGAAGACTTTCGTGCCAAAGCCTTTAGTTTGTTATCTGTAGCTGGTGTATCTGGATTTTGCCAGGTTCTCTCTCTCTCTCTCTCTCTCTCTCTCTCTCTCTCTCTCTCTCTCTCTCTGTGTGTGTGTGTGTGTGTGTGTGTGCGTGTGTGTGTTTTGATTTGAAATAAAATGTAACAGGTGAGCATACCACTGGGAATGCAAGAAGGGCTCCCGGTTTCGATTTCTTTGATGGCAAAACATGGCTCGGATGGATTCTTGCTCGGTTTTGTAGAGGCCCTTTATACGACTCTCAAGGACCAGAGCACATTTTCTTAAAGTTTCGCAGTTGTAAATTGGTACCACAAACCATAAGTTTCATTGACCATAAGCTTGCTATGTGTAAAGGGTTCTCAGCAGATTGTTTTTTGTTGCAATATTTCCAACTACACTGTATTTGAAAGGCAATCAAATAAAGAAAGATCATATGTTAAGGAAAGTCAAATGCAAAACAACAGAACTTTAAAATGACACTGTCATATTTTTGCTCAAGAATAATACAGGACAATTAGTATGATATTTAACCTCAAATATATACATTTGTTTAGAAAAAAAATATACATAAATTGTCCTGGAAAGAAGAGTGCTTCAGGTATGCAAGCTCGAACCGAATAACCTTTGTGCAAGGCACACCATCATCCTTCATGGGGCTTCATAAACTGCATCATCATAAACTGGATAATAAGATCTTTTTGCATGAATAGAAGGTTTCGAACTTTGAACCCCAATGCTTCAACAAAAGATCTTCACAAAGGTCTTCAACATGAATACTCAAACGGCGAACAATGCCAATCGATTGGCCTTCCATTTCCAAAATCTCACAGTCAGGTCACTCACTTGAAAGAAAAGGAGGCACACAATCGAGATCCCTCAAGTTCGCGGACAAATGCCCCAACATAGCGTATATCTCGTTACAAAGCGGATGCTTTTTGTCTCTCGAGACAAAAGAACTCTTTTGACCATATATGCTAATCCAACTGCACCCGACTTCCTTGGCCAACCCTCTCTCGGCCAATTCTCTCCTCATGCTCTTCACATTCTCCCAGTTGCCCTCTTCTGCATGCATATTCGAAAGCAGAACATGATACCCGGTTTTCCTATCATTACCCCCCTCCATCTCGAGCAATTTATTCGCAACAATTTTTCCCAACCCGAATTCTTTGTGAACCCTGCAAGCAGAAAGGAGAGAACCCCATATTCCCAGCACGTCACCTTCTCTGCCTAATTTCAGAGCAAACTCGTACGCTTCGAACACCCTCCCGACTCGTCCCAACATGTCTACAACACATGCGTAATGTTCGGACGAGGGTTTCACGCCATAACAGGCCTCCATGGACTCGAATATTTGTAGGCCCTCATTGATTAAGCCACTGTAACTGCAGGCGGTAAGTATTGCTACAAAAGTTACAGCATCCGGTTCGACAGTAAAGTCCCTCATGGAATTGAATAACGAGATTGCCTTTTCACCCATTCCATGTTGACCGTATCCCATTATCATGTTCGTGTAAGTGACTGAATTTGTTTCGGCCGAGTTTGTAAAGGCTCTCTTGGCATAAGTAATTGAACCCGATTTTGAGTACATATCCACTAGAGCAGATCCCACAAAGACATTTTCGTCTAGGAAATTCCGGATGGCAAAACCGTGAATCGCCTTCCCCAGAGATAGACTTACCAACTGGCTGCATACTGGAAGAACTGAAGCTAAGGTGACTGCATTGGGCTTTACATTCTTCTCCTTGACCATCTGCCGGAAGATGGTTAAGGATTTTTCGACGAGCCCGTTTTGGGTAAACCCGGAAATCATGGCATTCCACACGGCAGGATCAGTGTTACTTTTCAAGTTCCTGTCGAAAATTGTCTCGGCAAACGATAGTTTACCCGATTTTGCGTACATATCAATAAGATAGCTATCCATCCCATCGAACTGAATCCCATGCCTGATGATGCATGCATGCGTCTGTTTACCGATTTCTTGATTTCTAAGATTCGATGCTGCAGATAAGAAAGCAGTGATTGTCACATCGTCTATCGAGAACCCGAGTTTCTGCATCTCGAGTGCGAGCATCAATCCTTCATCATCCAGTCCGTTCTGGACGAGAGCACAAATCATGGTATTCCACGACACGACATCTTTTTCACGCATCCCACTGAAAACTCTGAACGAGTCCCAAATGGAGTTGCACCTCGAGTATAGAGACACAACCGAGTTCATCAAAATAACAGAGGAAAATTGGGAGCTCTTTATCAGATACGAGTGCAGTTGCCGGGAAAATCCCGGATTTCGCAGCTCTGAAGCAGCAGTTACTGCCGAAAGGAAGGTCACATCATCGATATTATTCTCACCATTTAATGCCTCGTTAAAAAGCTCGAGCGCACGAATCGGGAGATTATTTTGAATGTAACCACCAATCATCGTGTTCCAAACGTGCGCGTTCTTCTCCAAGCAATTGTCAAAGATACTTCTAGCAGAATCAAGGCAGCCGAGCTCGGCATACATTGTAATAGCTGAACTCACCACGAACAAATCTTTAGCATACTCACCACCCAATTTCGTCACAATCCCGTAAACTACATTCGCAATCTCGATATCCCCTAAACCAGAAACAGCTGGAAAGACATTCACAAAACTAACTGCAGTTGGCCTAAATCCCATTTTCATCATCATCACAAAACACCTTATCGCTTCTACAAACCGACCATTCTTGGCATACCAAGCAATCATAGTGTTCCAAGAGACTACATTTCGCTTGCGCATGAACCCAAAAACCCTCTCCACCAAATCAAATCCCGAGTTCATACAACAAGCAGAGTACATATTCAACAAGGAATTATACACAATCCTACTCGGATACTCACCGGAACGCAACACATGGCATTGCACGGCTTTGCCCGTCAGAAGCTGCTTCGTCTGGGCGCAAGCTTTCAGAACGGAGGAATAGGTGTACGGATCGCATTTCCGGTTGCTGGAGGAGTTGAGGGAGCGAATAAAGCGGGAGTAGAGGGATATAGCCTCGTCGGGCATGTCGTTGCAAATGTAGCCGATGATGAGAGTGTTCCAGAGCACAGTGGTCGGCTGAGGAATTGTGTCGAACAGTTGGCGGGCAAGGCTGAGCTGGCCCTTCCGGCAGAGCTCGCTCAGCCGGAACCGGATGGTTCTGGGTTTCACGGATGAGTTTTGGTGGGCGCCGGACGAATCGCATTGCGGATTTTGGCTGAGCTGTGGCGTGGAGGCTGAGGAGGCGGAGGCTGAGGGAACGGGGAATTTGTGGTGGTGTGTTTGAGCTATGGCGGATGAAGTTAAGGGTAGGGGCAGTGGTGAAGAAGACATAGCTAAGCGCATTTGTGCGTGTGTGTGTGTGTGTCCAAATTAATTTCCATTTGTTTCTGGATATTTTTAAGGTCCGACCCGACGTAAAATTTGCTCTGTCATTTATTTCAGTAAAGTTCATTAGTTCTTGCACAATAGGTTCTTATCTTAAACATTAAAGTCGACTCGTTCAATTCGATTCGAACATTAAAGTCGACTCGTTCAATTTAGTAAAGCGCATTCAAACCGAGCTGTTTGAGTAATACAATTCGGTTCGGCTTGCAAAATGTTAAGTTCATCTCGTTCGTTCGCTTAAATGAGCCGAGCTTACAATTAATCGAGCTTATTTATAAAAAAACTGACCTAGCTCGTTAGCAAACACTTTATTTATTTATTTTTATTTTTAATAAGATAAAAACTAAATTTCGAGCAAAACATCTTCGTGTTAACAAACAACTCGTTCACAATTTTGGGTTTGTTAAATTAACCGAACTTAGTTTTCACGGGAATGAACTCCAAAACTCAAAATACTCGGTTGACTCGGTTTAAATAACACGCGTACATAAATAACTCGGTTTAGGGACTGGTAAAACTGTAGCTTTACAGTCCCAAATCTGCTCTATTCTTCTGATTGGAACTGCCTCAAGAGGTTCAAGACAAAGATGTATCTTAAAAAGCAAAAATAAAATAATAAAGCAACAAAATTCAGATGCGCCACTAAAAAGATTCACTTAGGCCTCGTTTACTAGAAGTGATAGGATGGGATAAGGTTGGTTAACCAACCTTATCATTCATTTACTAGGTTGGTTAGGGATTAAGATATAGCTGATGTGTTGATTGTGTGGCATGTGGGTCCCATCTC